AAGTCGCTAAAATGTCTAGAACATTTGTTGGACGTCAAGAATATTACTGGAAACTCACTAGAATATCTTGAATATTATCAAACAAAAAAGAATAAATAGAGAAATTAGAGCGAAAAACATAACAAAATGTGCTAAATATTGATAAATTAAAAGGAAAAAAATGTAACAACAAACAACAATAATGAAAAAAAATATATGTTACTTTTAATTTTTGTAAGGTTTAAGCGAATAATCTCAAATATTGATCAATTTAAAAAGTAAATTTTGAAACTGTAAAATGTTACAGTTTCAAAGTACGATTCTATTAAGTATTTATCCTTATTAATCAAACTGAAAAACTTATTATGAAACTTTAAAATTTTACAGTTCTGAAGAATATTATGAAACTGTAAAATTTTACAATTTTAAAGTATGATGCATTTCAACACCAAGAAAACTGAAATTATAAAATTTTATTATTTTTATCGCCTGCAATTAAAACTCGAAAACCATTTATTTAGAATTTGAAAAATTTATCCATTAAAATAGGAAAATAGAAGTGTGAGAGGGGAGATTTGCACCGGACAGTACGGCCGAGCTACGGTAACGCGGGTGTGACAAACCTCACGATGCCGAGCTATCTTCTCAATTGGCGCGACCCTCCAACCTGTCGTATACGGCCGAGGTAGGTTGGCCGACCAGGCATGGTCTAAGGCCTGGCCGAGCTATGACTGCTAGACGTTCGGCGATAGGCGCACGTTAGCACGACACAACCGAGCAAATGACAGTCCGAAATGAGTCTAGGCCGAGAAGAGGACCAACGCGCTTCACCTTCAGTTAACCCGGAGAGTTTGGACCGGGGTGGTGGTCGGCGTGTGCCCGACCGGATAGCTCGGAAGCTCGGTCGTGTTCTCCGTGGTTGTGATTTTCTCCAGGAAATAGGCCGGTTTTGGTATGCCGGTCAGGTGTGCCACTTGGGCCAATAGCGTGAGGGAGAGGAAATCTACTCCAGGCACGCGTCAATACCGTTTGGCAGTTTTGCATGTACTGGATGGAGGATTTGGCCTTTACACGCGTAAGGTGGTGGGAGGCGAGCACTGCCACCTGTCCAGGGAAGGACAGCAGAGGTAGTGCGTGCACAATCCATAGGCTGCATGGCCAGCTTAGAAAAAGGAAGGGAAGATGAACGTTAGAGGTAAGCAATTGATGCCATCTGAAACACACTCTCTTTCTTTAACAGCCTTCTTCTTCCTCAAGTGATCTGACTTGAACATTGGAGGGTCTATCCGGCAACCCACCGCCGGGCAGCTCACCGTTTGTTTGTTGCCAGGTTAGACGCCGTCACGTGAAGCTTGAATCCAAGGAGTACGGAAAGCAGAGGATATTTCGCCCCCATACAAAGTGTATAGTAGAAAAAAAAGTTTAAAAAGGGAGGAGATTTGAGTAGATCTACATCAGATTTGAATAAATCTACCAATCTTCATCATCGAAAACTCATATTCTTCACCATCGATGAACGAGAAGCAAGAAGTCGGTGTTCGGTAGTTGCCGGTGAATCTCAATCAATGATGGTTGTCAGTGACTGTGGACCAGAAAAAGAAAGAAAATAAGGAAGGCCTGGTCATGGTTGTCACTGGATATTAGAGAAAGAGAGATAAAAATAAGAAGCAAAGTGTAGAGAAAGAAGAGAAGAAAAATGCACACAGGACTTTTGGGACTACTCAAAAAATTTTGAAATCAAATAGAATACATACTTTTCAAAAAGGGCTTGTGAGTAATTTGCCTTACAAGTTTATGGGTTTCCGGTTGGGCTTGGCCCATATAAGCCTAATTTCTTAAATTCAAAATTCATTTAGAAATAATAAGCAATTATAATACAATTTTTAAATTGTATACAACAATTAAAATTTCATATTGAATAATTAAAAATAAATTTTATTTATTAAAATACAAAATGACATTCATTATGCTCAAGAAAATATTACTAGTTTCTTTTATGGTTTAAGAAAAAACAATATAAAGATAAATGAAATTTAAAACAATATCCATCGTCTTAGTGTTGTTTGATTCTTATCCAAATTTGATTCTTCTAATGATATGTTATTTGGTTGGTAATACCTAATTTTGTTTTAAAATTATTAGAAAAATTACATTTACTTATACAAGTCTTACAAATTTAACATAATAGCACTGATTTCCCTTAATAAAGTTAAAACAAACAAAACTAATGCAATGATAAATAAATATTAAAATAAATAAAAGTAATTATAATTTTTTTTAATAAGAGATGATAACATCATTTTTTCATTCATTCAATTCACAAATTACTAATAAAAGAAACTTTAATATTATATGAATTAAAATATTTATAAAATTTAATATAATTATATCTAAAATATGTGATTAACTGTATTGTCTCAAAGCAGGTGAGTGTAATTTATCTAAATTATTTGAATAATATTAAGAATCATGAAAAAAATATCATGAAATCCTTTATGAAAATTTTTCCTCATTTGATTAGTGTATGGTATTTTTTTATATATATAATCTAACGATAAAAAAAATTTCATGATTATTTTTATAATACCTAGCATTACTCTTATTAATTTAATACGGGCCTTTGACCCTGTGCGGATGACTGGCTTTTAGTTCTGAAAAATGTTTGAGGGCCACAATTTTTGTGGCTCAAATGACTCGAAATTGTCAAAACGACGTCATTTTGACAATTTTAAAATTGTTTTATACTCAGGCATAGTTTGGGAAGTTGGTTTTGGTGGGTTAGGGGCTAAAATAGCCACAAAAAACAAAATAGGCTATTTTAATCACAAAAAACAAAACATCAAATCCAACCCATAATCATTACACTCCTCTCTCACAAAAAAAGTCAAAAAAGACAAAAAGCCAAAAAGTCCTTCCCAAACCAGGCTTTTTAGCCCCAGGTTAAAATAGCCAAAAAATCAAAAAGTCAAAAAGTCAACCCACTTCCCAAACGGAGGCTCAAAACGATATTGTTTTGACAATTTCGAACCATTTAAGTCACAAAAATTGTAACTCTCAACCATTGATGTTTAGTTCTAAGTTGGGCTTTGTACCAAAACTAAACTTTTTTTTTTTTTAATTTAAATTTTGAGAAGTAGGGAAAAAAAACAAACAAAAGAAGAGGTAATATTGTACACGTGTCAGTGCATAAAATTCGAGGGAACACATTTAGGTTCCTAAGGGGGCGCTGTAGCTTAGCGTAGCCACGTGTTACAGTTCAAACAGTACTCTAGAATATATAGAGAGAGATATATATATATATATATAGAGAGAGAGAGAGAGAGTAAGAGAGTATATGGGTTCTTTGGACTTAATGATCACAACACAGAATTGGATTCACCTGCTAAAATTCTAGGGTTTTTCTAAGTCGTCGTTCACTGGTTTCTCTATATCGGTAAGTCTTCTTCTCAAAGATTCGATTCTTCGATTCGGATTTGTATATATATATATATATAGATATAGATATAGATGGTGTGTGCATGTATGAGTAGGGTGTTTGACTTCTAGGGTTTTGAAGAATTTGGGATTCTGAGTGTTTCGTTGTTTATTATTCCTATTTTGATTTGAACATGTTTTGTACTGGGGTTTCTGTGGAATTTAGGGAAGCTATTCAGCTATGATGATGTTTTTTTGCTGGAGAAAATCTAGGTTGTGGCATTGAACTAGACAGATTTTCGGATTTTTTTAATTTATGTTTATGCATGTTTTTCCAAGGTGTTTTACATTTGTTATATTCCAATTATTGGGTATATATATATATACACACACATGGATTTTGTTGATGAGTGCCCTAGGGCACTTGTTAACAAGTTTGAAATAGTTGTAAATTGTTTATGAGAGTGTGTCGTAAAGAATGGACAACCATATTAAGCTCTTTTAACCAATGATGCCTTAGGGCACTCGTTAGCAAGACCCTCTACACATTTTTGATTGTGAAAGTTATATGAATTAAGTTGGCTATGGAATTGAATTTTGATCAGAAATGTGAATTCTGTTATTAAGGTCCTTTAGGCTATGTTAGGATTTGCAGAGGGACTTGTGGAAGAGAAAAGTGAATGAAATAGAAGCTTCTTTTATTTTCTTTTTTCTTTTTGCTTTCCTTCCACAAATTCTCCATTAATCTTTAATCCAAACATAACCTTATGGTTCTATTATTTCTTAGTTGGGGTGTTTGATAACTGGTGAATTTTCGGTTACCCTTTTTTCCAATAAGAAAGAAAATCCACCTATGTATGTGGGTTTTGGCAGAGATGCATATGAATTCATCAATAAGATGAGAAACAGTAACAAGAAGGAGAGGTGGATATAAAAAAATTTTAAAACTAGAGTAGGCTCCCCAAATTGTGTGTGATGCAATACCAAAAGACGTACTCAAAATTTTTGGATGGAAAGTTGTAGAAGAAAAGATAATGGTAATATATAATGAATTTCATGCACTTGTAGTAATCATATTATGCCTCAAAACGTAAGGCTTAATCATCATGATTTATTTGAAAAATATGTAAGTTATCCATAATATTTTTCAAATTATATATTGTAAATTTAGAAACCCAGATACAAAAATAGGTGGTATGAGATTATTAATCATGGCTAAATGTCACCAACTTTTGAATAGAAGTCCAAGTAACCACGAGGAAACTGTTAATGTTCAATTTGTCTAACATGCCATATTGTGTTTGCTTATATGAATTCATAGTTTAATTAAATGTCTAGGCTCTCAAGCAAATTTATTTGAGGGCCTTGAAAATTCAGGTACGAGGCGTTAACCACATTGCCTTAGTTTGTTCCTGAAGGCATTTCACTTGTGGTGACATCAAGAGAGCCTGAAGCATTAGCCTTAGAAGCATTTTGTTGCAATATATGGTTAATTTGACTGCTCTTCTCTTGGTCCTTGAACTATCTGTGCTTATGTGGTTCTGGATTTTTCTTGCATCTTGTTAATTATTTATGATATTGATGGTTTTGTGAAGGAATTTGGAAGCATGCAGTCAAAGTCAAAAAGTGCAAGTCAAGTAGAAGCTAATCCATATAACATTTCACCATCAGCAGTATGTGCAGAACCTTGGTGGCGCAGTACTGGATATAATTACGTCCCCCCTGCTGTGATAGGGGGGAACACATCTAATTCTTCTTCTCTAGAACAATCAAAAGATGGCCAATCACAATCTGATGGTGCGTTGGATGAGGATGAGGATGATGCTATCAGAGAATCACAAATTAGTGCTTCTCCACGTTCAAGTATTCTTCAAACTAATACACTGTTGTGGATGGTTTTATATATTTTGAATGAATAGCACAAAAATAATGACTTGAATGATATAGTCTGATTTGATGACACTGGAAACTAACCATACATTTTTGGGGCACTTGTGTGTAGGTCCTAATAAGTGGACTTATTGTCTAATAGGTCCTATTGGAAAATTTTGTTATAAAAAAAGTCACTAATTGTAAGTTTTAGCGACGATTTATAAAAATCATGACAAAAAAAAAGTCACTAATTGTCAATTTTTAGCGATATATATAAAAAATTGTCACAAAAAAATTATTTTTACCGACAATTTTATCAAGACTTTTTCAATAGGACTTGATGGGAATTAAATCCAACTATTAGGATCTATTGATAGTTTACTCAAAAAATTTAGAAATTATTCCCCCCCCCCCCCCCTTTTTTGATTGGCTTGCCATACATTTTCCTCGATGACTTATTATTCTCATGGATTTCTCATGTGTCATATGCTACAGATTAATTGTTGATTCGTCTATTTATTTTATTATTATAATATTTTCATTGTTATATATATTCGTGTGGGCATAGGATTTGAGGAATTTTATTTGATCAAGTGATGTGTATTTTCTTTGGTTACTCATCCAAGAGAAACTGGTATAGAATTTAAAATTTGTCATTTATTGAACTTGAATGTGAGAAACAAGGATTCACTTAGTTTTGTTTATTAAAACCATTTTCAGGTACTTTTGTAGAGTTTTTTATACACACACACAACTTAGTTCAGGAGTTAAAGTACGATGATGAGAAGGGTTAAGGCACTCACTGTGTCCGACCTGATTCAGCCTCTACTTATCACCTCCTGTTTCACCAGTTCAGCTTCATCAATTAAGATTCATTTAAGGCAACATATAAAGTTGTCAATCAAGATTAAAGACAAACAAACAATTACGCAAATATGGCAGCTTTAAAGTTGTCATTTTCAACTTAATTTAGGACATTATATTCTATTGAACTTGTTCAGTAGAAGTTCAAAATCACTCCTTCAGTTGAAAACTTGGACTCTTTTTAGGGGATTTATCATGCTTTAAGTGGTACCTAAAAGTAAAGTCATGTAATGTTAGGAAATACAAACTGCTGAAAATTTTCAGTATCAGTGATGCGGCATGGAAATAAGGCTACAATTGGCCCTCTTTCTTAAGTATTGCGCATAATTCCTCTTTAGATGAAGGTATTTCTCGTTGTACACAATTATGTGTTTTTTCCCATTGTAGTTTCTCTGTTGTTAATTAATTTTGTATACCCGAGTTCTTTTTTTGCCATTGTAATGTCTTTGGCGTGCTCAACAGTGGGAAATTTTTCAATGTGGTACTAATGGTGATCTTATTTCAAGGATAGATGGAAATTATGGACAAGGACACCAGAATTTCCAGCATCAAACATCAGCCATACCTCCTAGGAGTAATGAAAGCCTTACACAGCCTCCACAGCTGGAACTTGTTGGACACTCTATTGTAAGTCTGCTTTTTCAACTTTTCTTCACCTGGCTAGAATGTGAGAGCTGTCTTGATGATTTGCTTTATTTCTGTGCTCAATGTATGAAATCAGAGAAGTCATACTGGCATGACTTAGAAACAAAAAACATTCCTAGTGTTCTTGTAACTCTTGCAGGCTTGTGCATCAAATCCATATCAGGATCCATATTATGGGGGAATGATGGCAACTTATGGTCCTCAGCCTATGGTATGTATGCATGCATTATCTCTGCGACATGTATTATAATGTTTAGCAATTCTTTTTGGTTTTAAGAATTAAGAACCAAAAAAAATAATTCTTTTTAATTATTATGATTGTCTATTCTGTAAAGTTCATTCTGTTGCTGTATTATTAATGTTAATGTTGAATAGATTTACAAATGTATCAAACTCCTGATGTACTGTCTAACAAATTATTGTAATGGTCAGGTGCCCCCTCATCTATTTGATATGCATCATGCTAGAATGCTTTTGCCCCTTGAAATGGCACAAGAGCCGGTTTATGTGAATGCGAAGCAATACCATGGGATTCTGAGGAGAAGGCAGTCACGTGCTAAAGCGGAGCTCGAAAAGAAGCTTATAAAAGCTCGAAAGGTCAACTTCCCAAATAATCCTTGTTTCTTATTTTTGTTTCCACCTTATTTGATTAGAGTTTATATAAATAACATATAATCTAGGAATTATCCGTTGCTTCCTTATCTGAAAACCATACAATCATAGAAGTGATGCTTTTTTTTTTAATGATTTCTCATGACTCTTACATATTACATGTCTCACTATAACTTCATTGTATATTTGACTTTGTTGTGGTTTTCTAGAACTTGTTTGGTTTTCTATTGTTGACAGAGGTATAGTAATATTATGCTTTCAGTCAACAATATCATAAACTCATGGATTATAGGTAGAACAATTTATTTATGACAAAAACCGCCACTGTGGAATGCTGCAAATGCTGACATTAGGATGGATAGACAAGATGATATGATACTAGACCAGGTCAAGATGATATTAGTTCATTGTCATCCATTATTAATAAAATACAATAATAATAAGAAGAAAATGATTGGATGAAATGATAGAGTTGTACCTACTGATTTGATTACCAAAATGAACAAATAGCAGGAATTAGCTTTGTTGTACGTGAAGTAATATGTTTCTTAACCGGTAATTAATTGATTAAAATAAGACAAAAAGATGAGAAAATGGTATAGATAGTTTACTTATCTAGGTAGGTAAAAAATAAGGATGGCTATAAGAAAGGTTGATAAAGAGTTGTCCAGATTTCTGGTCACTCCCTCTTTTGGGATGAGTGATTATTTGAATATCAATAGGCAGGGGGGAAAACAAAGAAAAAAAAAATGTTTAAATTTGAAAAAATAATTCAGAAGAGCAGATCCCTTCATCATCTTATAAATTTACAAGGTCTAATAGGATTTGAATGAAAAGTTTTATTTCACACTATCAGATTTAAAGTAGTCATCAATGTTTGCATGGATATATAGTTGTGAAATTTTAATCTCATCATTTTAGTGCTCTCTCTCTCTCTCTCACAGAAATATTAGTCTTAGATCTACTTTGGAGAGCAAGACTGGGTGTACCAAAATGAGTGAAACCTAAGATCTCACCGTGATGTCTGCAATGAAGTCCTTTATGTGGATTGCCTTTTTTTTAACCAGTAGTTCAGTTTTCTGTGCTCAGAGAAATGTCCAATTTTACAATTGTCTGTTCACCATTTTTAATTTTTCCATCCACATTCTTCTGAATTTTCAAAAAGTGGTACACTCTTGGAATAGGATTCTTTGTATGAAATCAACCTTGACCATAACTTTATTGCAATAAGTTGAAGAATCATTCCAATTCTTGCTAGAGATGATGAAATTTGGTGAGTCGTCATCTTAGTTATTTCGGGTAAGTAGAACCTCTTTGTTTTTTTCTACTAAATAGCCATTTTTTATATTTTTTTACCTCTTTGTTGTTTCAGCTGTATATCTATTCATAGTTGTCCTATTTTTTTAAAAAGCCCTTTAGGTTTCCTATTCTATTAATTTCTTCTCTTTTTATTGTATTTTATTTTATTGTTGTTGTTACTGGACATGACATTGTATATGGATTCATCCATACCTATTTTCACATTGAAATATTAATGTATGAGGTTTGTAATACATGCGTTGTTTTCTTCTTCCGTTTTTCCTACAGCCATATCTTCATGAATCCCGCCACCAGCATGCTATGAGAAGGGCAAGGGGAACCGGAGGTCGTTTCGCTAAAAAGTCCAATAACAACACAGCTGATGAAACAGGAACAATTTCGGGTTCGGCCATCTCATCACACTCTGCCAGCTCATCAGGTTCTGAACCTTTGCACTGTGAAGCAGCCAAAACCCAGAATAATCATCGTGAAGCAAAAGGGCCTAAAGTGCATGAGACATATGATGGGCGAGGATATCAGAATGACAGTAGCCTCCGGGCATCAACATATGGTGGGCATTCGGCCAAGGGAGGTGAAGGAGACTCTTCAGGGCAGCAATGGGGGAGTGTCTCATCTAATAAGGCTTCACAAAGGGCACTTGCTATTTAGTGAGGCCTAGGGTGAAAACACGGGTGTTGGTTGAGGTAGAATCATTTATGCTCGTGTGTTTTGTTATGGCAAATCATTCTTGGCTATTTTAAGCTTGAATGGCAACTCATTCTTGGCTTTACTTGTGGTGGGGTAAAATAACAGAAGATGGAGAGATGTTAAACCAATCTCTGATCTTTTGTGTTTTGTATATAGAGTGAACTCATTTAGAATTAGAACTTTGAAGGAAAGTCTTTAGGGAGGTTTGAACAAATTAAACAACATCCTAGGAACCATGTAAAGTGTTTGACAAAAGACTTGCTTGTTTGGGATTTCAGTTGTGCCTTTGTTTGGAGAAGAAAAAAAAGTTTCAAATAATGGATGTCAAGTAGATATGTGGGTTTGTTTTTGTTCTGGTATTTTTTTGCAGGAGTTTGTTGTTTTCTAGCTTATTAGTGTGACTTGGGGTTGGGAGTTTGGTTAGCCTATGCTTCTTTCTGAATATTTTCTGTGGCTGCTGTTAGACATCTGTTTTAACACCGTTTATATATATATGAAAATTGATGTGGGTTTATTTCAGGGATATAAATAGAGCCAGAAAAAGCTTAGTTCTGCTGGAATTAAAGCGTTCTGAATGGTGCATAAAACAGTTTGTTGGTAGACAACCTAGTTCCTGGTAACCTAGAATTTCATGTGTTGCCTTGGTTCATCAATTGTCTTGAGACCTAGTGGTTGATTCTATTATGTTTTTTTGTTTTCTTTCTTGGTGTTCTGCAAATAAATGAATCCAAGTGGTAGAAAATTGGATCCTGACTAATGAGGGGGCAACCATTAATGTGTATTTGCAATTTGGAAGGGAGGGAGAAGTTGGTTCATTGACTGACTGAACTTGGAGGTTACTAGTTCAAAGGCACATGTGGGGGCATTGGAGAATCTTGACACAGAAAATAAACGATTAATTTCAGATTGGTTTTCTGAAGGATAAAGGTTGAAGCCTCTTGTCCAGCCTAAATCAAACATAAACCTGCTCAATCAACACGAACAGCGAAAAATTGAAGAAAAAAGAAAAATGCACACAACAGCAAATACCATGATATATCAAGTATAAACCTGCTCAATTCACCCCCGAAAAAAATATATCAAAAAATCAAATAAGATTTACTTTCTTATGAAATTTCCCTTCTGAGTCGTATCAATATTGAGACAGGACTGATTCATTTGTTAACATAATAGGATTCAATCAAAATTTCAGGACGTACCAACCAGGGAGCTCAAGAATTGAGGGTCCTTAACTTGTCTCATTGGAAGCACCAATGCTCAGGCACACAATGATACCAATGAAATGGAATCATAAAGCAAGAAAACAACCACCAAAATCATCAGATAATTAAGAATATCTCATCAGAGTTGGCAGTCAGCAAATTCTGGGTATCCAATCAAAGCAGCAGAGCATAAAACTTTGAGACCAACTGATTTATTCTCATAGTCTAATACATACTTCTACACACAGTTAAAATAATAATAAAAACCATCAAAAAGGAAGTACAAAAAATAGAAACTGTATTCTGTTTCTGGTTGGTATTTCCATGTTGTACAATCATTAATCATCTTGACGTTGATGATGATGATTCGGTGTCCTCCATGTTTCCAACAACATCATCATCCACATGTTGATCCAAGATGATTTCTTCGTCTAGGTCATCTGGGGTAACCACTTTTTCAGGGCCTGCATTGCTCCCATCAGTAAAATTATCATTGGACTCAGTGGTGTTAACCACAGTTTGTTGCTTATCCATCATCCCAGACAAAGCCAATCTTGGAGACCACTCAAGAACATCATCAATAATGTTGGAAACCCGCTTTTGATACCTGCAAGTAGAGAGTTTCCATTTCACACCCATGCATGGTAAAAGATTTATAAAATATACTGGATTGCTTCAGAAAAACCACCGGTGTATTCAACTATTTCACAAAAATCCACCACCAAAACTAAGTTTGCTTTGAATAAATTCTCAAGTTTTTGGTGATTAATAAAATCTCTCCTTTTTATTTTTTTTTTGGTCTTCATAGGAGTTCAGAGATGACAGAATTGTACAGCAGAGCAGAACCACGGCTGGGAGCTCTGCTACGAAGAATGTCAATACAGAAACCACCACAATCAAATAATTCTAATCATTGATGGTATGTTTGGTTCACTGGAATGAAAGTAGAGTGGAATGGAGTGCTTATTTCTTGGCCTTTCTACAAAATGAGTGGTGAATGATAATTCCATTTGCAATGTATTTCCATAATTTTTTTAGTGAACCAAACGTGAGAATGGGCATTCTAATGGAATGATCATTCCATTCCACTTTTATTCCAATGAACCAAACACTACCTAAGAATTTTCAAAAACTAGACAAATGTAATTTAATCACAATAATGTTCACAAAGCATGCCACTAAAATAAATAAAACAATCAATCTCTAGGCAAAATCATATGCCTAACAAGCTGAATGTGTAGGGCACTAGTAACTTTCAGATTGTGTAGTAATATAATTGAAGATATTCACATCATGGTCATTCACTCCATTGTACTACTGAGATTTAGCAATTGTGCAGATAGTGAAGGACAGGAAATCATTTTCCTCAAGTAATCAGGTTAAAAAGAGAGGATATTTAACAGACCTGGCTCTGGCAGCCTCATCAGGGGCATGGTGCCTCAGAAGTAATATGACCAACACAGCCACTATTGCATAGAAAAGCCGTGCTGTCCACTTTGGTCGCTCCTCCTCATCTTTCTGGGGCCAGAAACGGAATAATTCACTCAGTGTTGCTTCCTCTGCAAGGATGTTGGGGAAAAACCATACACGTTTTCCGAAAAGAATCCATATAGCACCAAAAATTGTAGCTCTCACTGCAATCAAAAATAAATCCTTCATAACCAAAAAATATACTTAATGACATGATAATTTCAACAACAATATACATATATATAATCTAGACAAACAGCCAAATGTGCAGGACTCTTAAAAGTAGTGAAAGCAAGAAAAATTGTCGGAGTTCACTAGAAAAATTGACAGGTGGCCGGTGCATACTATTCCAATCAATCTAAAAAAACAATTTCATACCTACACCAGTACCCATAACTGAGTAAAAACATTTTATGGAGGATGTAAGACCCATTAAGATAATTGTGGTAAAATTAAAATTGAAACCATAGCCACTGGGAGACTTTACCTAAAAGCAGGGAAAGTATAAGCAGAAGGACCCCCGCACACGAGTAGAGGATGAGCAGCTTGGCCCGATGGGGATATACAGGAAACAAGCAGATTGCAAGAGTCAACACAGGCCAAAAAAATGACAGAAGTGTTTGCCACAGTGGCCGTCGTTTTACAAACGTCCAGGCAAAAAAAGCATCATTTTCGGAAAATACTTGATCCTGCAATACATAGTTAATAGATCTCAACAATCAATTAGGAAAACATGCTCTAGACTTCCAAGAAAAATTAGACAATGCATTGAACATGAATTGAGGAGCTGTTAAACATTCAAGGGTTGTTGAAATCCAAAAGAAATAAAGCATAACCCAGCTACAAAACTAGAAAGCTATGCAGCCAGGATTCCTTCCTGACATCCAGGTTGACCGTTCTGAAGGAATACAATGATCACATCCTCCCCTATTCATGATAATAAATAAATAAAGCAACAGGCCAACAAGGAAACTAAGCAACATAGGAAATTTTTTTTTATCAGCAACAGGCCAACATAGGAAATTAATAGAGATATAATCATATACATATAGAACCTTCCATAATTCAGGGAAGGCCTCAACAAGTGCACCATCATGTCAAGAGACTCATGAAGCAAATATATCTACTACGAGTCTAGGATAAAAATTTCCAAGATAGTACATATAAAATGAAACAAATCCTTTAAAGATTTTTTACTGAACATGAAATACTCCATCCCATTTATTGGAAATTTGATCTAATCACTATCTTGAGCCACTAAAGCTGTCCTACAGCATGCACCTTCAGATATTTAGTTATGTACTAACCAGTGTTTTAAAAAGCTCTAGGCGCATCGAAGCGCCCAGGTCACCTGGAGCCTAAGCGCCGAGGCGTGAGGCGAGGCGTGCGCCTCACCAAAGCGAGGCGCAAGTTATAAAAGTTAAGCAAAATATTAAAATCACACAATTTTCAACATAGAAAGTATTTAATATGTATATTATTAATTTTTTTAATAAGAAGAGTAGAGAAGAAGAAAAAATATAATTAATTTTTTTAATATATATTATTTTATTTATTTATTATATTTTTTACATAATGTGTTTTAATTAATTTTTTTTATTTTATTTTACATACATGTTTATTTTTTTTTATCACTATAAGTATATATTATATTTTATATATTATATAAGCATATTAGATATTATATATTATATAATAGATATTATATGTATTATATAATAGGTATATGTATATTATATATTATTTAATATATTATATATTATATAATATGTATAGTATATTATATATTATTTATTTATTATATTATATAAGTATATTATATAATAGGTATCATATAATGTATTATATATATCTATGAATCAAGAGACAGAAGCGAGAGAGAGAGAGAGAGAGATCGCGATCGCAATTGCGAGAGAGAGAGATCACGATCACAATCGCAAGAGAGAAGGCGAGAGAGATCGCGATCGGCGAGAGAGATTGCGATCGTGAGCCAGACAGAAACGAGAGAGAAGACGACGAAAGAAGAGATGAGAATAGAGGAGAAGAGAAGACGAGGCAGAAGAGAAGAAGTAGAGACGAACCTGAAGAAGCTCAGATCAGTCGATTTCGAAGCTCAGATCAATCAATTCGAAGAAGCTCACCAACAGATTTGTATTGTATAAGAGTTTTAATCCTATGTGGCTGGTACACAAACACAAAACAGGTCATCCCTAGCCGAAGCGCATGAAGCGTGCGCTTTCAGCCTAGGCGAAAGGGGCGCGCCTCAGCGCCTTACGTGCGCTTCTTGCAATGCGCCTCGCTTCGTCTACTTCGAGCGCCAACCTTGCGCCTCGCCTCGCTTAGCACCTAGGCGCGCTTTTTAAACACTGATACTAACAAAAAAATCAGTCAAGGAAAATAACTTGATAATAATTAGATAATCTAAAAACTACATACCGGATTCAAAAGACCATTACAAAATCTCATAGGCATTGCTTTTGTTCCAATACACCAAAAGGCAAAATGAAAGAAAGACATAGTAGCAACGCTTCTTCTGAATAAGCTGTTGACTGATTAAAGAATTGACCGATTCTTCTTTTAGCACATAATAGGTCTCACTTATCGAAAAATGCAATTTTAGGAAATAAGTGTGGATGTTTTGGCCAATACTCTCTGCTGTGAACTCTGATATCTGCTTTCAAAAAGCAGGTTTTGTTGTTCAGCACCCTTGAAACTAATACCCTCTATAAAAAAATATTAAAAAAGAAAAAAAGAAAAAAAAAGCATGTTTTACGTCTCACTTATTCGCTAGTTGTTGTGAGCGTAGTGTAATTAACCCTCTACAAAAAAGTAACTGGAACAAAATGAATCTATACCACTAGGAGAAATCGAATATAGCTGATTTATTACATTAAAAAAAAGAGAAAGAAGTGTAGAAATATCAATTCATGATGGAAATTTATGCTCTAGAATTAGGGCTTGGAGCTTTAACATAATGTGGAAAAATTAACATAGAAAGGGACCTTCAGCTGTCAACTGTTGTTTTTAATATCTTGGTTCAAATAATTGTTTGATAAAGCAAACACTAAAATATAAGAAGGGGTCTTTAGTACTTTACTAATATAAACAGGGTCAAAATTATTTTATTAAAGACACACATAACCTTGCTGAGCAATATGAGAAGATAATAAAAAATTGACATAAAAAAACGAAGCATAAAACATAAGAATAACACAAAAAAATTTCAAATCCATTCTTGATCCTTTCTAAAACTAAGAAAGAAGAAAACCAAATCACTAAAACTACGTGATAGTATTGTTGCACATTCTGATAATAATAGCACTTTTCTACAAAGTGAACTAACCTCATAAATACAATTTGAATACATGAAGTTAATAAGGCACTGGGTAAAGAAGTAAACCCCTCATTAAAGAAGCAAATAAGTGATATAAAGGAACAAAAAACATTAAAATATTCTCTACATGGCATCGAGAGAACAAACTCACAGGAAATATCTCTAAATGTGCTGGCCAAGTAGACAATTTTCTCTTCCCAGGCCGAACAGTTTTCACCACACGGTCACAGCGCACCAAAAGATTCTTTCCCAGTAGAATATTGCCAATGTCTTCTATTTCTATGTTCTTATCTGATTCTAGTATGTCTTTGAGCTCTGGATGATTTTTTAAAAAGCTAACAAAATCTTTTCCTCTGAAATATTCCACACGTGTCTCTTGTAAGACGGCCCACCTAGATTCCAAATCTTTATGGTCTCTCACCTTCTCAGCAAACAACTGAAATACATCCTTCTTGGCAGCTTGTTTCTGAAATTATGATAAAAAAAAATAAAAAAAAATTAGAAAACAAAAAAATAACTCATAACTCAAATTATTCATGATCTATGATAATATAAGATACCAAATCAGCCAAAATAAACCATTCTCTAACAAACAGTTCAGCACATTCACTAGACGTACATGATACCCCAGTGTCAGGCATGAATGCCGGGTGACAAACTATGGTTGCATATGGTTTAAAATGAGTCCTTAGTAAAAAAACAGTAACAAACAAGAAGAATGCAAGGCAGATAGGCCGCATGATCACTTAAAAGCACTCATATACGGTGTTCTAATTTCATTTAAAATATTTCTTCTTAAATATGCAAGACGGGAAACAAGAAGAGGTCCATTTCAACTGCCAAATCAAAACAGAACTCAAACAGGAGTCATATTGATAAACACACAATGAATTATACCACCATCAATACTTAATAGTGCATTTTATGACATGCCATAATCTTAGTTGTTATGGCATTAGCAGTATGGAAATTATCTCGTAAAAGGTTTCCGTTAGAGGGAGAATAGGAGGGGTGAGGAAAAAAGTTATAAGCCACCCAAAATCATAAATAGCTACAGGGCACTCCTTGCATATAACACAGCAGTTACAATTGCCGAACTAGTCTAAAAAATATGATATATTTCCAATAATTGCTATTCAATTAATAGAAAGTCCTGCCACCCTCGCCTTCATTCACCGCACAGATTTGACTAAGGGAGAACTTCACGCCGAACATTCTACTATGTAACATGGACCCTATGGCCCCGTTTGTTTGGGGTTATAGGAAGGGGATTGGAACTATTAATACCTTGCAATGAAGCACGGGTGCGGGTACGAGTACGGTACGGGTACGGCGATACGGCAAAACCCCAAAAAAGTAGGATACGGGCACGGCTGCGGTACGCCGATATTTTTTTATTTTTTATAATTATGGTTAAAAGATCCAATGTACAAATTGAAGTTAAATATCAAAACTAAAAAGAGAACTATAAAGCTAAAGACAAATATTAATATATTTAAATTTAACATAACATAACCAACACCAATTCAGTCCATAATCCAAGCAAAGGAAAAACAACCAACACCAAAAGAAAAACAAGGCCAATCCAATCCATAACACAAGCAAAGGAAAAAAAAACAAAAGAAAGCCCTATATATCTAAACTTGACACTTCAAAGTTCACTTCCATCAACTTCATCATTGAATAAAATAGCTTCCATCTCTGGCTCATCAAGTGAAAGATTTGCAATTTCAAGGAAACCAGAACCCTCCAATGAATCAAATGCATCTCCCCCAACGTCCCATAACTTGGTCTCTCCTTCTGTGTATAGTTGACTCCTCCTTGATAAGAGACGAATATTGGAGTGCACAAAAACCAAATCCTCACACCGTTGTGGTGTCATTTTATTCCTCCTCATAGAGTGAATGAAAGAGTAGGTGCTCCAATTCCTTTCACAACATAATGAGGAACATGGTTGGCTAAGTAATTTCACTGCCAAGGATTGGAGCATAGGTGCAAAAGAGCCATGTGCCAACCACCAAACCACTGGTTCCATTACTCCTCTATCACATATTGAGTCAGAGTCACTAAAACTTTCCAAACAACCTGAAAACTTCGCATACTCGGTATTAACAACCCTTCTCTCATCTGAATCAGGAAAGTATCTCTTAAAACACTTGATTCTCATCTCAGAAATTTCAACATCTTTGTGGGGAGGAACACGAATGGGATTTTCATGAAGCCACATCCCACTATAATACCTAGATTTCATAATTAGAATAAAATAATAAGTAAATTATGCAATGAAAAAAATTAAAGTATAAACCTTGGATTCATGAGTCAAATGTGAATTATACCTTGGATTCAAGGAATGAGCAAGGCAATGAAGAGGTGTGCTACTTTTTGTCCACCTTTCCACTAATATTTGATGCACTACAGAATAAAAGGATGACTCTTCATTTTCTGACTTCCCTTCACGCCTATAGATGGATGCCTTCACCCGTTCAATTATTGAATCCCACATCTCATAAACCAAATGTAGACATGGCTTATCAGTGTCACAAAATCTAAGCATCTCATAAATAGGCAATGTGAATGAGAGTATATATTCAATCTTATCCCACCAAACATCATTTAACAACTTTTCCTTTACAACAGCTGCTTTCCCAACATCATCTTCCTTGTAAGAAGCCCCTTTGTCACTTATGACCATTGTTTGGAGACCATGATATATAAGTTTAAACCTTTTTAGCATAACAATTGCAGATGCAAAGCGTGTATCTGCAACAGAAAGTAGTTTCAAAGGTATAAACTCATTAAAAATAACTAATCTCATAGAATGATTCATGATGAAATTTTTCACAAACATTACATCATCAATCACAGTAGTGATCCAATGGCATTCATCATAAGCATATGCAGCAACTCCAACTTCCTTCACAGCACAAATGTTCTTAAGAGCAAGATTAAGAGTGTGAACTACACAAGGTGTCCAAAAGATCTTCGGATAATTACCTTGAATAATTGATCCAGCTGCACTACAAACTGGAGCATTATCAGTAATTACCTGAATTACATTATTAGGACCCACTTCATCAATCACTTCACTAATTAGTTTGGCAATATGATACTTGTCCTTGGTCTCACCCTCACAATTAACAGCTTTTATAAACATAGCTCCACCATTACATGCTGCCATAAAATTAATGAGAGGCCTCCTTTGTGCATCAGTCCATCCATCAGATACTATACTCAACCCCTTCTCATCCCATGACTTCTTAGTTGGTTCCAATAACCTTTCAATATTTGCCCTTTCTTTTTGAAGTAAGGTAGTCCTCAACAAATTATATCCAAGAGGGACATACCCAACAATTTGATTCTCAGCAGCATATTGAAAAGCATCCACAAAGTATGGATTCCTAGCCAAATGGAAAGGCAAACCGGCTGAATAGAACATACGGGCTATTAAAGAATGTAAATGCTCTCTAGCACTTTGATTGAATGCCCTATCTAAAAGACTACTCCCAATTGCCTTTCTCTTTCTTGGTGCATAACCTTCCATTCTAAATGTTCCAACATTTTCTACACTGTCGTGGCTAGCACTAATTTGAGAAGATGGAAGTGGTAAAGGAACATTTTTTGGCTTTGCCATTTTTTTTCGGTTTTCAGCTTCTTGATCTACCTTTCGAATTTCAGAAAGAAGATCACTCTTATTCTTCACAGTTGCACACACTCTAATTCCATGGCCAGTAAGTAGCAACAAATGGGCTCTAACTCTAAAATATGACCCTTGGTACTCAATGTCACAAAAATTACACTTAAATTTTGTATTACCACTTCCTCCTTCTCCCCTTTTAACTAATTTTGTAACATAGCCCCAAAGAGGAGCATTTTCATCTCCAGATTGATCAATGGAAGGAGCAGAAGCACTTGCAACAGATGAACCTAAACTGCTTGATGAACTCATTTTCCTATAAGCATAAAAAATAATATTTTTGATGATTAAAAATAATATTTGTGATTAATTATTAACAATGTTTGTGATCTAATTTTTTTTTAACATCAGATTATAATTATTAACATCAGATTATAATTATTTGTGATCTAATTTTTTTTTAACATCAGATTATAATTATTAACATCAGATTATAATTATTTGTGATCTAATTTTTTTTTAACATCAGATTATAATTATTAACATCAGATTATAATTATTTGTGATCTAATTTTTTTTTAACATCAGATTATAATTATTAACATCAGATTATAATTATTTGTGATCTAATTTTTTTTTAACATCAGATTATAATTATTTGTGATCTAATTTTTTTTTAACATCAGATTATAATTATTAACATCAGATTATAATTATTTGTGATCTAATTTTTTTTTAATATCAGATTATAATTGATATATAGTACCTGATCAACTGCACCTAATGGAGGTAGACCCGTGGATGGGGCGACCACATCGAGCACCACGCGCAGATATTCCTTAGACAGCTTCCCCTGACGATCTGTTGGCACATTCTGCAATGCTGTTTCCAGTGTCTGATGAATTTCAAAACAAATGGCCAACAAACAGTTCCATGAGTAATCTTATCCTTTGGAGGAAACTTTGCACATATTCTGAGTTTGAGAACGAAAACTAAGTGCATATTGGGATAAAAAAAATTACATGCATGGCATTAAAACCACTGGCGCAACCAATGGTTATACACGGAAATTTGCCGTGGGGAAAAAATTTGCCTTAGTTATACACGGAAATTTTCTCATTTATGTATAATACTTCCGAACTATTCGACATCACTCAAAGCGGATCACCAACATACACAACATAATAGGGATATAGGAAATTTTAAAATGAATTCTATTGTAGACAAAAGTGAAATTTTTCTAAAATAATTGAGAAAGAAATTTTTTTTCTTAATATTGCTCCGGTACCCTCAATTTTTCAAAAAATTTGATTTTTGCCCCCGACGTACCCAAAACGTACCGAAGGCGTCCCCATGCCGTACCCGAGCCGTACCCATGACGTACCCAACTGAGGCAGACGTACCGAACTGGTTTTTGCCGTACCCGGTACGCGTGCAGCCGTACCGGTACGCGTACCCGCACCCGGTAAGTACCCGGTGCGTGTACGGCACTATTTTTAGAGTACCCGTGCTTCATAGATACCTTGGTATTACTAATACCTTATTTGTTTTGAGAGATGGTCTTGGGACTACTAATACTTTGGTATTACTAATACCCTTAGAAGGGAGATTCATAGTGAGGAGGTAGAGATAGTATTAAAAAAATAGGAGGGGATTATAAATTTTTTTATTTTTTATATATTGGGAATTTTTTTTTAAATATTAATGTTTAATTTTTTTATTTTTTTATTTGTTTTATTATTTTATATAAAAATAATTTAACAATTTCTCACTATCAATTCCCTCACTATTAATCCCCTCACTATCAATCCCCTTCATTCTATCTCTGAAAACAAACGGGGCCTATAATATGTGTCGAAGTGTCCGATACACCTAATTCCCATGTCCAAGGAAATTGTGACACGGAAAAATATCAATATTTCTTAGTACACTCTTTTTATTTTCTACGGTAAAATGGTATTAATAAGGTGCTATAGAGCATTTCAAACACAATATGGCGTGTTATGCATAGTTTTATCGTAAACTCAATTTATGAATATGTTTCCTGGGTGAATGTCCAACTCAAATGATGAACATATCCCATATAACCTTACCCAAGTGTCTGACACAATTACTTCATACATTTAGAAGAATCATTGAAACATAGTCCCGTAATTACCGTAATTTTGTCATCCAACCTCCTCAACCTAAGACAATTTCTCAAAGAGATGCTTGCCAAAAAAATTTGGAGCCCTCCAAAATTGAGTATTCTAATGCCTTCTTCTCCACACAAAAATGTGCTCCACTTTATCTTCCTTATCTATTTTATGATTTATCACAAAGACCTAACAAAAAGACCTGAAGACAAGCATTCCCATGTCTTCCTTCTGCGCCTAACAAAAAAAAGGGAAGGGGTTCGAAACCCCTGTGCAACAATAATTTTCAACATCCAAAAATAAATAAATAGAGTATGACATCTTTAATTAAAAGATAACTCCCTCTTGTATTTGGTCTAGTAACAATGGATTCATAAGGAGTCATAGTGCATTGATTAAACAACAGTTCTTTTTTTTTTAAGATAGGAATTAAACAACAGCTCTAAAAGGTTAGCAATTGATATACTCATAAGAAAATTTACAAGCATCAACACAATAAATGATCAAATGTGATACCCTAGAAAAATTATATATATATCGATATGAACCCTCAAAAAATTGCTCTAATGCACCCAAATAAGACAAATAAGTTGGAAGACAATAAGAAATGGCCAAATTAATAAAAATAAGACAATAAGTTGGAAGACATTTATCTAAATTCTGCAATTTGGGTTTTTTTCTGCCTTTGGAATGATCCTTTTAGGAAATTAAAATTGTGAAGAAATTAAAATGGGGCACGATTATTAACGAAAATCCCAATGTCCATCATCAAAACAAACACAAACTACGAATCACGTAAATAAACACATTCAAAAAGCCCGAAATTGCAGCGAAACAAATCGCTAAACAGTAACAGTGTGGCTTAGCCTCAACGATGCAGATCTTTCGAAAAACTAATCGCAAACCCTAAAATTCGTAGAATGAGAATGAGAATGCGAGAAATGAACGGTACAGAAAGAAGCAAGCAAAACACACTAACCCTAGGAGGAGTATCGCTGTTGAGATCTCGGTTGCTTCCATTCTGTATCGCCCCAGAGGATCGCCGGACCCTCTTCTTCTCCGCGCCCGATTTCGTCATCTCCCACTTTCTCTCCTCTCCCTCTCTCTCTTTCTTTTATATATATCTATGTTTTTGCAGAGTTCGCATCGTATAGAAATGAAAAATTCATGCCCTAACGTATGAATTGCAAATGGTTTAAATACCCAAACCCGAATATCTAAAAAATCCGATCTGGTCGCTCTGTCTGGAGGCGGGTTTGGCTTGGGCTATTATATATGTTGTATTATATTGAGTAGTAAAATATCATTCAATTTGTTCAGGCCAGTTGACGTGACTGGTACTGTATTGATGGAATGCGCTTAGGGTGTGTTTGATTGAACGGATTGAAAAATAGGAGATTAGAATGTGTGTTTGATTGGACGGATTGAAAAATGGAAGATTAGAATCCATCGGACTTGAGTTCTAGGATTGTGAATCTCTCGGACTATTTGGTCGGATTGGATATGTATCCTGTGTTTGTTTTTTTATGAGATTAGATGTCTGGATTGTTTTTTTATGAGATTAGATGTCTGGATAGGACTATTTTCAGTGAATCCAACGTTTGGTTGGACGGACTGGATAGGATAAATGAACAAATGACTATTTTATTCTTTTTCAATTGTTTACTAAGTAATAGCAATATTAAACATATCTTTAATATTTTAATTATTTTTAGTGAATCTGTATAAAGGGAGGGCTTCTCCTCCCTCCTAGAAAGGTTCCAAGAAGTTCCAGAGCTCTGAGATTAGGGTTAGAGGATTGTGTATCTATTCTATCTCTATATCTCCTTCTCCTTGCATTTTGTGTGTGTTTAAGGTGTTTTTGTTCATAGTTTTGCATACAAACACCTAGTGCTACACTTTCCTTTAGCTACTGAGGTACTAAGGAGTTATTTTTAGAGTTCTTGAGTTGATCTAAGCTTGGAGAGGCCGCTGGAGCATTGTTCTTGAAAGAGGTCTTCAAGGGTAAGAACTTTACCCCTTTATTCCCCATTTTTGCTTAGGCTTTTAGCCATCCTTGCATATGTTTTTAAGCTTACATTTGTTGATGATTGCACCCGTTACACTTGGGGTTTATCTTATGACTCATAAGTTCGATTTCTATCAAATATACCGTACCTTTCAGTCTATGATTACTACTCAGTTTAGGTCTACCATTAAGGTGTTACAGTTTAACTTGGGTGGGGAATATTTCAAAAATGAGTTTTGTGAGTATTTGGCCAATTTGGGTACCATTCATCAAACTTCCTGTACAGATACACCTGAAAATGGTCGAGCCGAGCGTAAACACCGTCATCTCCTTGAGACAGCTAGGTCTCTTCTTCTCTCTATCTCAGTTCCGGCTCTAATCCAAACAGTGATTAGTCCCCCCAAAACAATCCCACCCACCCCCCAGGACAGGATAGTCCCCCATATGGGGGACATGGAGTCCGGCCGGACATGGAATCCGCCGGACTAAAAAAAAATCAAACGACGGATAAGGAGGGAGGCCGGACATGGAGTCCAAATAGTGGATAATCCCCCCATTTTCCCCACAATCAAACACAACCAGTGAGACCGGATCATTTGCCGTAGTTTCCTATCGTGATTCCTGCGGTGCCTCAAAACGACGTAGTTTTGAAAAAAAAAAAAAAAAAAAGATAGAGAAGGAAGGAAATAAATAAGAGACAGGAGAGCAACTCCATTGAGTGTAATGAATCCTCGATGGCAACTTCATCATCTTAGTTTCTTCATGGACTGTGAATTGGAAAATATATTTTGGATATGTTGAAGAACCCTCTTTTTTTTCTTTTTGATTTCCCTTTCCTTTTCTTTTCCATCTTTCAATTTTTGACAAATTCAACATACAGGCACAGCCATAAATTCTCAAGGGAGTTTAACTTCAAATGAAGCCCCGTTTGGAATCTTATTTGTTTAGGGAAGACAAAATGGAAGTAAAAAATAATTTTTTAAAAAAAAAATCCAGAAATCCATTGACAAATCCAACATCTCTACACGGGCTAAGAATTCTCCTGGAGAACTTGAAATTACATCCAATAAACTGAAACTTATTATCCCAAAACAAAGAAAACTCTGTTGGAGTCCTTCCCATTTTCCTCTGCACAGAGTCCAGCAACTTACATTCAGGAGGTTGACGATGCATTGCATTCAATCTTGATGGAGTTGTCGTTGCCGTCGCCTCGCTGCAGAAGTCACCTCGCCATCCGATTGCGGGTCTCTTCTTCGTCTTACTGTTCAGGAGGTGCTTAGGTTATGGCTGTGGTCTTTCAAACTGAGGGGAAACAATACAGGAGGAAAGGGCAAAAAAAAACAATACAGGAGATTGGGTTTGGGGCCAAACTTTCCCCCACAAAAAAAAAAAACTAGATGCAACCGAGAACAAGGATCAAATGAGAAGAAGAAGAAGGAACAAGGAACAAGTTCATTTACCTTCCTTCTTGCTTTTCTCTCTCCTCTTTGATTGTTTCTACAAACCCAAAAAAATCCATCTTTCGTTATATTTTCTATGATCCTCAAGAACAAAAAAATGCTAAAGCTAACCAAACCTAAGATCAATTTTTTCCTTTTATTTTCTATAATTGATAAATTGAAGTTCTATTTTTGTTGTTTACTTTCCACGGAAATTGATTCAGATCTGAAGATGACAAATAGAGACGGGTCTGAAGATGACCATCTGTGAGCTTGAGTCTAAAGATCCGATCTTTGTTTTCATCGAATTTGAATTTTTCTTTGGATCATTTTTTGGGTTTGAGTTCTTGGTGGTCGGAGGTGCCGGGTCTTCGGATCGCGGCCCTAAGGCCGCCGTTGGGAGCTTCCGAGGGGTTGACATCGTCGGGGTGGATGTAGGTGTGGAGGCCTTGGAGGAAGAGAATGGGGATCTTGAGGAAGGAGAGAGAGAGAGAGAGTGAGAAAAAGAGCGAGAGTTAATTCGAGTATGAGATTGTTTGTGAAGATAAGGGTCAACGGTGACATGATCTTCATCTTCATGAAAAATTGGAATAATCTCTCTCTCTCTCTGTCTAGATTGTTAAAAAAGAAAACAAATTAGATGAAGCACCAGCTCTTACACTTTACCATAATATAAGAAACGAGAGGGAAAAAAAAAAGGGTCAAAAACGATGTCGTTTTTTACTACGGCAGGGACCAACGCAGGAATGTATGGCAGAAGATCCGAACTCGCACTTAGTAGGCTGTCAAACAAATTAAAAAAAAAAAGTATATATATTTATTAAATTGAAGGGTACTGTTGGGCCAGTGGGAGCCATAACGGGTCTCGTTTTGATAATCCGAACCGTTCAATGTATAGAACTCGTCGAGTACTATATGCTTGTAAAAAATCACGTTGATCAGATATCACTAACTATGTGATCAAATCAGTTTTGTAAAAAAAATAGATGGTGTTATAATTAACGGTTGACAAAAAACTAATACGATCAAATAGCTATCGATATCTGATTACCGTGATATTTTGAAAGCATATAATGCTCGACGAGTTTTATACATTTAACGGGTCCGATTAGCAAAATGGGACTTGTGGTGGGCCACCAAGGGCCAAACAACATCGTTCAATTCAAGCCCACAAAGAGACCATCATTTCCTATCTCCTAATCCGTCCACTACTCTGCCAGACTGTACGGGTTACATCACTAACTTCTCCTATACGCTTATTTATACAATTTTTTAATACACATTTTTCGTAAAAAGCCAAAATAATTAACCAAAACATTCATATTTTTTTCCTCAACTTTTTCGTCAAAAAAAATAAAAAAGTGCACTTATTTAGGACACCAAAAACAACCTCATGTATTATCTTGAGTACTAAAATATCGTTCAATTTGTTAAAATTATATCAATTTATATTAATTTGTATCGTTTTATTTGTTAGTTGTGAATTAAATTTTAAAATTTATAATTTTTTTTTGAAATTGTTCCGCTCCATTATAACTAATATATATTTTTTAATCTCTAATGAAATATCAAAGTAAAAATAAATGTGAGAAAGATTTAAAATATTAAATTTATTAAAAATTAGTAGTTATATATGGAAAAAAAAATGTGTAGAATTAGTTTGTGTTTTATATATAAAAATGGAAAATTATTGATAAATCCCATTTAGAAGTGTTTTAACCCAAGAAGTCCATAAATGAATTTTTTAACCCATTTAGTCACATGTATGTATAGATTTATTCCATAAAGTCTTTTTTCTTGATTTATACTATTTTCTTGGACATTTATGCCCTTATATTTAATTTTGATACCCTTATAAATATTTTTTGAACGGTTAGCAATTTTATGATGTGAACATTCAAATTTTTAAATTCACATTAGTAGGAATGTAAAATTGGCCCGTGTTGGCCCGAAACCCGTCTGTGAGCCAGAGCAGGCCCGGCTCGTTGACAATGTGAATATTCACATTGATATGTTAACATTCACATTAATAGGAGTGTAAAATTGACCCGCGTCCTGTGGCGCGCGCGAAACCCACCCGCGGCCCGGGATGGGCCCGGTCCAGGCTGTTGGCAATGTGAATATTCACGTTGACATGTTAGCATTCACATCGATAAGAGTATAAAATTGGTCCGCGGCCCATGGGCGACCAAAAGCCCACCCGCGGCCCGGCCCGGTCCGTTGACAATGTGAATATTCATATTGACATGTTAACATTCACAATGATAAGAGTATAAAATTGGCCAGCGGCCCGGGGCGAGCCCGGCCCGGCCCGTTGACAATGTGAATATTCACATTAATATGTTAACATTCACATTGATAGGAGTGTAAAATTAGCCCGCGCCCTGTGGCTGCCCGAAACCCGACCACGGCCCCAGAACGGCCCGGGGCGGGCCCGGCCCGTTGACAATGTAAATATTCGCATTGACATGTTAATATTCACATTGATAAAAGTATAAAATTGACCCGCGCCCCGTGGCTGCCCAAAACCCGCCCACGACCCGTAGGCAGCCCGGGACGGGCCCAGCCCGCCCTATTGACAATATAAATATTCACATTAACATATTAACATTCACATTGATAAGAGTATAAAATTGACCCGTGCCCCATGACTGCCCGAAAATCCGCCCACAGCCCGTGGGCGGCCTAGGTCGGGCCCGGCCCCGGCCTATTGACAATATGAATATTTACATTGACATGTTAACATTCACATTGATAAGAGTATAAAATTGGCCTGCGGCCCATAGGCGGCCAAAAGCCCGCCCTGCAGCATAGGGCGGGCCCGACCCGGCCTATTGACAATGCAAAT